AACCAACACACCTGTTTGAATCGCACAATGACAAGTACTTTTTTTGTGTTTCAGAGTTTAACGCTGCTTGGGCCACTACCAAGAGCTACTAGTACCTTGAATTGACAGGCCTCGTTTGTGCTTTTCACTGCACACGATCGTAGTTTTATTCAGACTAAATTTAATTATCGGAAGCTTACATACCTTCCATAACAACACAAACTTGGTGTTCCGAGACATCTTTTACGTTCTCCATTTCGTTGTGTTTGATTTTTCCACCACGACTTTTAGCTATAGCGGTTGTACTTTCGCTTTCCTTTGAACCACCATGAACCAACGCCAGTCCGAAGAGACCGTAGCTTCAGTTAGCTCAAACATCAGTGGTGGTAGCTCTACCCAGCCCACCCAACTTTCCGCATCACCATCAGGCCAGCAACGGTCTAGTTCTCCTGCTTCCACAAGTTCAGCAAGCAAGAGGAAAGGCGACGACTACGTTTATTTCGAGCGGAGTGCTGATACCTTTTCATCCGATGCCGTATCTCGTGCAACTGCTGCAAAGCTAAAGCTTGAATCTTACTACAAGCTTGCTGTTGATGCCGCGATCGAACGCAATGGGAGGTGCGCCAGCCGGTCGCTTGTTCGTTTCTTCAGTTAACGATTGCCGATCCCACTTGCAGACGCACAGAACTTGAGCACAGACTTAATCAAGCCATGATACCTAATGAGTCGAAAGAACGCGAAATTCGTAAATACCGCAAGCTGGAGTCACAGCATCTACGATTGCGTCGGACAAAGATTCGTCTCACGGACTTTCGCACAGTAAAAGTCATCGGGAAGGGTGCGTTTGGTGAGGTATGCCAGGCTGTTTACTGAATTACTCTTTGAGCTCACCACTTGATTAACGCGTAGGTAAGATTGGTTCAGAAAGTAGACACAGGGAAGGTCTATGCCATGAAGACCCTCCAAAAGGCTGAGATGTTAAAACGAGATCAGGTCTGTATGCACAATCTATGCTTGTCGCCTTGTACTAATGTAATGGTCTTATAGCTTGCTCATATTCGGGCTGAGCGTGACTTGCTCGCTGAATCTACATCACCCTGGGTTGTTCAACTCTTTTATTCCTTCCAGGATCCACTATACTTATATCTCATCATGGAGTTTCTTCCTGGAGGCGACCTAATGACCATGCTCATGAAATACGATGTTTTCTCCGAAGATGTGACACGGTTCTACATGGCGGAGTGCATTCTTGCTATTGAGGCTGTCCATGACCTCGGCTATATTCATCGGTGCGCAATAGCCTACCATCTTCATTATAAGCATATCAATTTTCGTTTCAGGGACATCAAACCTGATAACATCCTGATAGACAAGAATGGGCATTTAAAGCTGTCCGACTTTGGTCTCTCAACTGGTTTGCACAAAACTACAGATGGAGATTTCTACAAGCGTTTGATAGACCAAGACAAACAAAGGGATCCCGCCCGAAACAGCGTCCAGGTTAATGCTATCCACCTTACAATGAGTCGCGAGCAAATTGCTACTTGGAAGGCCAACCGACGAAAATTGGTTAGTCTCCTCGTGTTCTACTTCGTATCGACATTGATTCTTGTATTACCAGGCATACTCCACTGTCGGTAAGTGACCAGATGACAAATCCTTGTGCGCTGTTTGAGCTCTCCATGTAGGAACGCCGGATTATATTGCGCCAGAGGTGTTCATGCTGAAAGGTTATGGTAAGGAATGTGACTGGTGGTCGTTGGGTGCAATCTTTTTTGAGTGTGTGGTTGGATACGCGCCATTTTGCTCTGAAAACCCAAGTGATACATACAAGAAAATCATCGAATGGCCAAACTACCTATACTTCCCGGAGGAAGTTCACCTTAGCCAGGAAGCTGAGCATCTGATTCGCAGGTGCGACTCTGTTGCCCACGTACAAACGAAGGCGTTTTACTCATTTCGCCTTAGCATGATGACGTGGGCGAGCACCCGTTTGGGGGTCAATGAAATCAAGAATCATCCCTTCTTCTATGGAGCCGACTGGGATAATCTACGTTATATCGCGCCGCCTTTCGTACCTGCGTTATCGTCAATTACAGATACCACATACTTCCCCACTGATGAGCTCGGCAACCTTCCTGAACAGCTTGAAGTTGTTGAACAAGTCGGATCTGACAAGGATCTTGCTTTCTTAGGGTAAGTCGCGTGTGTTGGATTCATGGCTAACGCCCCTGACTCTATCCTAATATAGATTCACGTTCAAGCGCTTCACTGGCGGACAAGCTCCGTGATTGGAATACACGCGCTTGCTTCCTGCCTCTTTACATCATATGACACACCTGTAACATTGGATCATCGTCTCCTCCGCGGCTCGCTCGTTCGCTCGCCCTGGATCAATACCGTTTCGATACCATAGACAGCACTAGGTTTGCGTAATTTTGACAGTTAGATCCGTTTTGTTGCAGACAGCATTTGTACCTCAACCGGTAATCAACCCTCCGTCGTCCAGCTAATGGACAGTCTGGGGGCAACTCCGGGGATATTGTCTGGGTCCGAGTCTTAATTCATTCGGTTAACAGCTTGAGAACAATAAGGCTAACTCGATGTGGACCTCATTGCCTTCGGACCGGAACTCGTGTGTGTGTGTTTCATGCTTTTCTGCCTGCTGGCCACAATTTGCCGTAACGTACCATACTTGAGAATGCATATAAATCTCAGGTGTCCGCCATGCAATCGCCATAATTCAGATTCCCAAAAGCCATCTTCATCATCATCTAACTCCCATCTAGATCACGATGCCTGACGGTGGATACGCAGATACTTACAGTCCTCGCAAGGTCCTCGACGACCCTTCCTTCCGCGTCCTCGCATCTGGAGAGGTGCCTGCCCCTGATGCAAATATTGCGGCATTCTATAATCCCAATCATGAAATTCACCTCGTGGAAAAGCCGCGCCCAACGCCAGGGCCTGGACAAGTGCTGGTGCACGTCCGTTCGACTGGGATCTGCGGGTTCGTTTTTGCATTGCAACATCCTGAACATTGTGCTAACGCGATCTGCGGTGATTGGCAGGAGCGACGTTCATTTCTGGAAGCATGGACGCGTCGGTGATTCCATGGTTGTGACTGATGAGGTTAGGCTCAGTCATTACGAATTGCTGAAAATAGCATCTGATCTCGAGCACAGTGTGGCTCCGGGCACGAGTCTGCAGGAGAGGTCATTGAAATAGGTGAGGGTGTGACTCAGTGGAAAGTCGGTAAGCTACCCATTTCGAAATGTTGATCGTGTGAAGAACTAACCGCATACTACCTAGGGGACCGCGTCGCAATCGAGGCCGGCGTGCCCTGCTCGAAGTCATCTTGTGACCATTGCAGGGTCGGTAGGTATAACGCCTGTACGTTTCCACTTTAACCTATCATCAGGCGGTCCGTGACGTGGTATCTCTTTACAGGTCCTGATGTTGTCTTCTTCTCCACTCCTCCTTTCCATGGTAGGAACTCCGAACATTCGACTTTCATTGATACTTAGCTGCCTTCCAGGAACCTTGACTCGCTATCACCTGCACCCTGCTGAGTGGTTGCACCGTTTGCCCGATTCCCTTTCCTTCGAAGAAGGATCTCTTTGCGAGCCCCTGGCTGTAGCTCTCGCAGGCATCGAGCGTGCTGGTCTCCGCCTTGGTGACTCCACTTTAATCTGGTGTGTTCGCATTTGGAGATTTCATGTTATGACACATTAATTGGCATTCAGTGGCGCCGGACCGATTGGTCTTGTTTCTCTTCTTTCGGCACGTGCTGCAGGCGCCGAGCCCATTGTCATCACCGATCTCTTCCAGAGCCGCCTCGACTTCGCAAAGAAGCTCGTTCCTGGTGTGCGTACGGTACTGGTAGAGCGTGGTTTGACCCCAAAGGACGCTGCCCAAAAGATCAAAGCCGCCGCTGACGGCCCTGTGAAAGTTGCGATCGAGTGCAGTGGTGTGGAAAGCAGTGTGCATACTGCCGTGCATGTAAGAAACTCTGAAGTCGTCTACGCTTTCAAGAGTCTTGCTTATTCTGGATGGTACCCAGGCAGCGCAATTCGGTGGCAAGGTGTTCATCATTGGTGTCGGCAAGAACGAACAAGTGGTATGTAAACGCCCACACTCAAAATTGGTCGCGCTCAATTAGTCATATTTTCAGTTCCCATTCATGCACCTGAGCGCAAACGAGATAGATGTTAGTTTCCAATACAGATATGCCAACCAGGTATGCTACGTTTCTGCAAGAATTTCGTGATGTTGACCATATGTGATCAGTACCCTAAAGCCATACGCCTTGTCGCTGGCGGTCTGATCGACTTGAAGCCTCTGGTTACGCATCGGTTTAAACTAGAGGAAGCTGTTTCTGCCTTCCATGTTGCTGCAGACCCTTCTCAAGGCGCGATCAAGGTGCAAATTCAAGACTAGAACATGGTAACGAGTGGTGATTTCTAGAGTTATAGAGTATTCACGTAGATTGGGTTTGCATGGGTAATTGTTGTACTTCGTCGTGTACTTGTCCACTGGGTTAAAATATTGTAGTAAATCAGGGATTGGATCTCCGCGTGCCATTCACTCACAGAAATTAGAGAGATTCTAAGAGAAGAGCCTCTTGCAGCTCGCTGCGGCGATTGCTCACTGTTGGCTCGTCGAAGACACGACAAGCTCGTGCTACTTGGTAGATTAGACCCAGACCCTAGTTATCAGAGTCGAGAGCACCGCAGGTGGGAACACGGCCTGCGGCCAAGGGTTCGAGTTTCAAATTGATAAGGAAAATGAATGCGAACGAATGTAGGCAGTTACGAGAAGGTGAAGTGCACGTTTATCCGTGGGACGGAGTTGATGAAATAGCAACTCTAATTTCCGCCCCCTATGACTGGAAACAGGATATGCATTGCCACAGTGTGAGTTACGGGTAACTCAATAGGATGCAACATTACTTCGGCGGTGACCAGTGCAATGATGCGATACCTCCAGACAGTAACCTTTGGACCAGGAATATGTATGGGTCAAATCTTGTTTGACTGGTCGCTTGATACGACGTTCTGTACTTGTTCATACATTTCTCGCTTGCGAGAGGATTCGCGGAACTCTTCTTCACGCTGCCGCATTTTCTCTAGCCGACGAGCGTCATCACGAACGACACCTTGGAACATGTCCTATTAGGTGGAATGTCAGGTATGAGATGAGATAATAAGCGACAATAGTGATCACCTCTCGCTCCCTTGACTGCTGGTAATGAACTGCCCATATAATGAAGGAGGAAAATGCGAGCGACGCAGCCAGTGTCGCTTTGGCTCTAGTTGACATCCGAGGTGATGGGAAAATGAGCGCAAGGTGCATAAACGCCCTCTGAATCAACATCAACAAACAAAAGTTTCAGTCAGGCTCGATACCGTTTACCATCAACATTCTCACTAGTACCGTTTCAGAGCGCCCGATGCTTTGGGAGTGATGAGCCAACTTGAAGTTAGTCGAGCCAACGTTTTATTCCGTTGATGATGTTTATTTTTACGCTCTTCCAGGATTTCGAGAACACGCTGAAAGATGTCGTCAATGCAAAACGACTGTCAGCTTCCAAGATGACGAAATTGACTGACATTACACTGAAGTCCGTGGAGGTGCGTGTCAAAACCATACTTGAAGGCTTGTTTACTCAGGTTTTTTGTATTGACAGCATGACACTAAGCTTGTTGCGATACTTTATCGCACTCACAAGTCACTGTCTAGTACTGCCAAGGTGTCAAGTCTCTATGCGTTTGATGCTCTGGCACGCGCTGCCCGAAATTATGCCACAAAGCGCGGTATCACTGGTGACATAAATTCAAGCACCGGAAACGCTGCCACCTTCCTACTCAAAGTTGAAGGTGTTTTGGATGGTCTGTTCCAGGACATGATTGCGCTTGATAATGCGGAAGCGAAGGTAAGCAACGAGTGGATCCTACTTCACGCACACAGGTCAGGCCTATATATGCGACATTCATGTCGTCGGTAACTTTGTATGGTACTCCAAGCAACGTGACTGCGTAGCCTGATGTTGCTGTAAATGTGCCCTCCACTGACCGGCTCATATCTTCGAGTACCGATACCGCCACTAACGCGTATTTTCACCACATTATTTTTGCTGTTCTCTCCCCCACGTCGGATGCAACGCAGTCTTACTTACTTCAATAACAGGAAAAGACGAAGAAAGTTCTGGATATATGGACCAAATCAAATACTTTTCCTTCGCCGGTTTTGACACGGCTGAGGGAGATGATGGACTCTCGAAAAGGTGCATATCACGAATCAAACATGTGTCCGCTAAGTATTTCTTCTGCTTGTGTAATAGCTATTTTTGCTGGCGTCTCTGCCTCAAATGAAATGAGAATTTACACTGAAATACGATTTGGCTGCTTTTTATGTTAGAATCCGTGAAAAACTCAATGCCTCCCATCGCACGAGTCGAAACTCAAGCAGTGCCGATAATTACCACCCCTCCATCGGCTACCCCATCCCAGGGTCCAACACCTCCTCTTCCAGAATCGGTGCAGTCCACACTTCTGGCCCTGCTTGGACAAGCTGCGCAAGCCGCTGGACAGCCACGCATGTAAGTGCCTACTTATTAAAGTCGCGAATTGGAGCTCTTCTGAACCTCTCGATGCAGCCAAACACCACCAAACACTGTGTCTGTCCCACCCCTCGCTGGGCACCTAGCGTTGTTGCAACAGTTGGCTTTGACGGCAAACGTCCCAAATGGTGGTCCTCCATCGCAATCTGCAATTCAGCTCCCATTGCAAAATACACAACTCCTATCTGCGCCACAGCGTCCTCCTCTACCTCATCTAAACAACCAACCACAACCTTATTCTTCCTCACAGTCACATGCTCAGCATGATCCCGGTAGGGATTCTTGGCAGAATCGTTCAAGCCAATTCGATCCTGGAAGAGAGCGTGATGGATTCCATGATTCCAACTCACGCGGGGGATTCCAGCGTAGTTTTCGTGGTCGTGGTCGGGGTCGGGGTAGATGGGATGACCGTGACCACGATCGTTTCAAAGATAGGGATTGGAATTCTTCACGGCCAAGAAATAGCCGTTCTCAAAGCCCACGCAGATTCAATGGGCAGCGGCCACGACCGTATAGTCCGCCTCAGAGAACTGCAGCAAGCAGAGATGTAGTCCAAAGTCAAACTCCAGCAAAGCTCCCTGAAGCGGGAAAAGACGAGTTCGGACGAGATATTAGACCGTCTTCTACCACCCCTAGAGCTGCATCAGTCGAAGCTCAACCCCAGCCTCCGACGGTTCCATCTGTAGTCCCTGCCCGTACGGCGGCACCCGAAAATCGTGTACCTGTATCAGACCAGTTGCCCTCGGTAGCTGCCAGTACATCTACACAGAAAGTCGAACCTCGTAAACCGAGTTCGGCGTCCAGCGCTGCAGCAACCAGGACTTGATCATTTTGATATCACAACGTTTGATTTCACTGCGCCTTCATCGTGGGAAGCATTGGGAAAGATGTGGCTCAGTACTTACGGCGATACACCGTCTCAAGAGGAACTCATGCAGTTTGTAATGACGGGCGGTGTAGTCGCATTTACTGGTCAGACAAATGCTGTGCAAGCTGGTCAGTGGCAGGATCCAAGTTGGGATGCCCAGTCCACCGCAGGTTCTGGACGTGGGTGGCAAGGAGGAGGCAGAGGATTGATAGCTGGACACAGTGGCGATACCCTTGGGCACGGCAAATACCGAGACGGTGGACAAGGCTGGGATGAAGATGTTCAACACTCGGACGCCATAGTCCTGGGCGAAGCAGGCGGCCAGGATAGTGGTCACGGTGAAGAGCAAGCTTGCATGGATCTAGTGCAAATGGGAAGAGATGATTTACTCAATGTAGACCCAGACGAAAACGTGGGTTCGGGTCGGATGCAACGAGTAGGCGATAACTGGGTCTTTATGCAAGAGTCAGGACATGAAACTGAAGCTTAAAGCATGAAGATCGTGAACACGGTGTATATTATCTCTTGTAATTATCGCATACTCATACAACACGCATGCAGAATCCGATTTCTATGCCTACCGTACTATTACTTATCACTAGACAATGCACTCCATTTCCCGCTGCCTAGGTGCCAAGGATCGGCGTAACTGGCGCTACTAGACATGGTCATTAGATGAGGCAAGACCAATGTCAGTGAATCGATAGCGGCGTTCTACACTTGAAGAGCTGAATTCTACGTACGTGGTGTCGACAGGATGTAAATTGTGCCACATATGTCGACCGAAATAGCGTCTAATATCATATATGTTTCTATTGCTCCCGAACTCAAACAGTTCTGACCCTTGAAAGCTTCAAGTTGAGTCTTTCATGTTGTCTGCAGCCATCCGACCGACAACGCGTCTCTTGCGCTTTTGCCAAAACATTCGATGCTTCAAGTCGGCAGCAGCAACATCCTCAACCGTCAATGCAGCTGAGATTGCCCATTTTTCTCGGCTTTCCTCGCTATGGTGGGATGAGCAAGGGGAGTTTTCGCTGTTACATCAAATGAACCCTGTAAGGGTGCGCTACATCCGGGAAAAACTCCTTGAGGCCACGTGCGAAGACCAAGGAGAGGATGCAAGGAGAGAGTTGGAGTCGAAATGCGCGGTGCTGACTGGTATGGACGTGTTGGATGTAGGCTTGTGGAGGCGGTTTGCTCTCAGAGGTTCGTCATCAGTTTCATCGCTCAATATGACTTGTCGAATTGAACCATTCTGTGATCCAGAGTCTCGCTTAGGCTGGGGGCACGAACTCTTGGTATCGATGCAGTCTGAATCCAACATTGGGATAGCTTCGACACATGCTAGTGGTGATCCCCAGCTGTCTTCTTTGGGCCATTCTTTAGGCCATTCATTGGAATATCGTCATACTTCTATAGAGCAGCTTGTCAAAGAGCCCAAGCGGTTCGACGCCGTATGCTCGATGGAGGTTATTGAACACGTAGATAACCCGGTGGCGTTCCTTTCTGCTTGTGCCCAATTGGTGAAAGTAAGTCTCATTCCGGATATCCTAGTCAAATCCAGGCGTAACTTTTGCTTATCATAAGCCTGGAGGCCATCTTTTCCTTTCCACGATTGCGAGGACGCCACTCTCCTATTTCCTTACAATTTTGGCCGCCGAATATGTCCTCCGCAAGGTAGCCGTAGGGACCCACACGTACTCAAAGTTCATTAACCCTTCCGAACTTATATCGTTCTTCCAAACCTATCGGTCCTCGCCTTCCTCCTCCAGCAATCCAACAGATTCTGATCATATCGGCCCTGGTGCATCTCCCAGACCGTGGATAACACGTACGTATGCTCATGGTTTACCTACACGATCAGAAGCGGAAGTGCGAGGAATAATATATATTCCATGGAGCGGAGAATGGAAGTTAATGTCCCGTTCGTCTACCCCCTGGGGTGCCGTGGAATGCAACTATCTGTTTTGGGTGAGGAGACCCTTGGATTCGTAGGAGGAGATTCATAACTTAAATATGTGCTATTGCACATCCCCTCGCACACAACGCTGCAGAATAGCAGGTCACCAAAAGAAACGGGTATAGCAATTGAATATTTACTTACGATTAGGAGACGAAGAAAAGCGTGAATCTAAGACATCAACCTCTCCCCCCAGACAAGCCTTTGTCTGTGAGCTGTATAGGCACCTGCAATTGCCGCCCAAGCAATCCATCCAAATGTTATGAAAGTTACAGCAAACAATACACGCATTATGGCAGTCCACCACCTCGAAACTGGGGAGTGATTCGTGAAGATGATAACTCGCCAACGCTCATGCCACTCAGTGTTCAACCAATTGAGGTCTGTCACGAGACTCTTGGCCTATCCTTCCTGGTGAGTCAAACCTTCGATGGGAAGATGCTATAATCTCTTACTTTCTCTCGACCAGAATCGTATATACGTCGTATTTCAGCCACATGTGCTTGAATTTGTGGAAGTGTATGTGACAATTCTTCCAGGGAGACAAGAGAGTTGTGAAGTTCCTCGTGGATGCACGGTATATGTTCTTCGAGTGCATGCTTAGCATGCTGTGTATCTCTCTGCTCAGTGACTCAAGATATCGATTTCACAGTCTACTGTTGAAAATAAGGTAATTGCTGACCTTTAGTTCATCGAGAGATCCCTGCATTAAGCTGTCCATAGCTCGAAAATTGCTCAAGCCTTCTGTAAGCTTGATCTAAAAGCAAGTAGAAGTGTCAATACATTAAGCAGGACATTAGAGAGACTGACACTGAGTTCCTGCATCTGACTTTCGTACTGCAATATCCGCTTTGATGTACGCTTTACTGCTTCCTCTATGTTGTGACTGCAAGTATGCTGTGCATGATTCCTGGTGTTCATTAGCCACTCCCGACCATAAGGTTGCAAGTACATTATGTGGCCAGCTCACGAGAGGGTGCTGCTGCGTTTGCTTCTAGAGCGCTTCAAAGCCTCATCTGGCACTGGTATCAACGAGTCACTCGGCATATTAGAGGGCCAGTGAGGCTCCTCAAAGGTGAATGAAGATGAGAGAAAGGAACATGCCCCCGTCATCCGAATTCACGTGTCCGTGAGTCTGAGGCTCGCCGTCCTTGCTAAGCAACATGCTCCAACCACCAACGTCTAACCACCATCACAATATTTACGATGCGCATAACCAGAGACAACTTGCTTCACGCTACCAAATCCTTATGCATTGATTTCGCATCCAAGAAAGATCCAGACGCTCTCATGACGCATTTCTCTACGACACACCAGTGCTCAGCATATGAACATGGTTTACCTATTCTTGCTCCATTTCTGGGTCGTCACTTTGTCGGACGTGACGGAGTACGAGATTACTTCAAAACCGTAGCTTCGACTCTGAGTTTTGAAGGAATGGAGTTTTCAGAGTATATCGTCGATCCAGAAGTCCAGAAAGTTTCGGTGAAGGGCGAGCAAGATTCACTTGGTTGAGCTCAGAGCAGAGCTGGGACGAGATATTTACATATGTGCTTGACTTTGACGACTGATTGCAAGGTTACAGATTATCAGGTTTGGGCAGATACAGGCGCTGCATACCTTGCTAGCAATGGTCAAGTTGGACACGAGCTAGGATTGTAAGTAAGTGTCTTCGATTTGTGTAATCAGGTACTGAGCGCTGAGCGCTGATGCATCTGATGCTTCAATGCTTCACATGACACATCTAACACATGGGATCTAGCCAAGCGCCGTGCATGTGCAACGGACCGTGTACATCGGAATTTTGGCAAAATCTAGTTACACCTTTCTCTCCTTGCGCCACCTACCACATCTTCAAAATCAAGATATAGTTCAAGTTTCACCTAGTACTATCTGGTCACAAGTCTTATCGTGCCCTTCTAAGCTCTTGGTTTCCGTTTTTCACATTCCTAAAATATATTTTATTGCAGAGCTGCCAAGAAACCCTTTTAGAGGAAAGAGTCACATGCGATGATCCTTCGACGCGTGCTTGCTCTGTTGCCTTTGCTAGTCATCCTGCCATATGCATGCGGTGGATCCCTTGGCAGAGCGGCGAACGATGCTATACTTTTCGACACCTTCCTGTGATCGGAAGTTGTTCCACAGTAAGCCACAAGTTTGAGGTTATATTATTTTTACCGATCCAGCTTCGCCTAACGCAAAGACAATGAGGTCAAGCAAACAGTAGTTGGGCTGGGCCGAGCGTTAGCTGGATTCAGACGCTGGCGAGATTGCCGCCGGGTGGGCGGGAAAACAAACTCAACGGCGAACCGTTGAATGGCCTCTATTGTGATGAAACAGATGACGCAGCTGGGTATGTGTGTATGGGTAATCGAAATATAATTGGAATACGGTGCGGCTATTAATTCCCGGATGTATTCAAGTTAATACTGGGCGTGGAGGGGGCGAAATATATGAGAACGAGGATACTGTGTAGGATTGAGCGAGTGAGATGTATCGTGCAGGATGAAAACAACAAAAAAAACACCTTGGACGTGTGATACCGGCTCCTTTCGAGTGCACTTTCACACCGCACGGTGACCACTAGGCGCTGATACAGCCACTACCGAGGCGCACACGTGTAGCACAGAAGTGCTATTCATGATCGTTAAAAATAAGATCCAAGGTAAATCTGGTGTATGTCGCTTCCCATAACGTCATCACATATCCTGCAAGTCAAGGGTGATATTTTCCCTGGATCCTCTGTTCAAGAGGTCCCGTCGTTCACCTCGCCTTATCGCACCTATTGCGTTCGTCAGGGATTGCTTCCGCATGCACACTCATTCACTTTTGGTGTTCCAAATACGTGTTTCCGAGCGACTCGGATAACTTTCGCAATCATATGCAACATCGGATGCCTCTCAAGGACATACAGCGAATCTTGCAATTCTGGCATGCACGTACCTGACACCTCGAATGTCTTTCTGAATCCCCATGCCCATTATGCTCATCACCCTAACGACTTTCTACATCAATCGATTGGAAATTCCTTGGCAAGACAGAGATCCTGCGTCTGACCCATCTTTGGTCTTGGGGCCCTTGGAAGCAACGGGTTGGTGCCGCTAGTAACGATTTCGAGTCTTGTCATGTGCCCCCTCCTGCTAGCAGGGAGTTTAACTTTATCGCAAATCGTCTGACGGCATTCTGTGCAGCATCGAGCCGCCATCTTAGTTTTTGTTTTTCGCTCTGATACTAGCAACCTCTTCTTTTGTAGCAGGACGGGGTCTTCGGTGCATGTGCTATCGATGGTCACATCATGATACACTAACCCTCGAATGAGGTGTAGTATAAATGCCTACCGATGGATAATGCTCTGCGTCATCTTTACCTCACGTTGCTCATCATGTTATCCTCCGTGCTCTCGAGTCTTCTCAGCGTCTTCGCAGTCATCAGCGGCCTGTTGCCTATGCCTCCTGTAGACATGGCACCTTCAGCTCATTCAACACCTGCAACCCCTCGCTTCGTTATTTACAGCGACCAATGGGTCTCCGGCGAGACCGGTCCTCCTGCAGTCAGCAAGATCAAGGTATGTACTCATCGACGACTTCATTAGCACATATTTATTATTATTTTGTTATTTGGAATCAGGGGTACAACGTCTTGTAAGCCTTGGGACGAACATGAATGTTTCTCAGTCTAACTTTCTTCAGCGCCCTCTCGTTCTGGCTTGTCTCCGGCCCAGCTGATCAAGCTGAAGAGTGGGCATCGCTTGACGATGCCACACGATCATCTTACTTGACATCATACCACGATGCCGGAATTTCTCTTATTGTATCTGCTTTCGGGTCCACAGACGCGCCTACGAGTGAGGGATACGATCCTACTACCATCGCCAATGATCTTGCGGCCTTTGTGTTGAAATATAATCTCGACGGTGTCGATATTGACTACGAAGTGAGTTTCTCTTGACGTGCATCAGTCCATACCTGAATACTGGCTTTGCAACAGGACTTCAACGCCATGAATGCTGAGAATGGATCTGCAGAAACTTGGCTGACCACATTCACCAAAGCTCTTCGTGCGAAGCTTCCGCAAGGTATGTTTCCTGGTTCCATTATGATGACGAGGACGTACTGACATCATGCCACAGGTCAATACATTTTAACCCACGCACGTGAGTCTGCCTCAAAATCCAGTGATTAGACCTGACCAAGTTCTCGGCCTTCATCTAGCTGTTGCTCCATGGTATTTGGACCAATCGTGTTCATGCGACTCGCCCGGTTTAATCTCCCTGTTTATAGGTTCTCCACATCATACACTAGTGGTGCTTATTTGACGGTCAACAAGAATGTTGGATCGTTGATTGATTGGGTAAGTGAGAAAATCACTGTGATTTTTAGTGAGCTCATTTGCCTGTTTACAGTACAACGTTCAGGCAGGTGTTTTTTCACAAAGGGCAATTTCATGTCAATACCGATACAGTTTTCCTGATTTTATCATTACAGTTCTACAATCGTGAGCCGCGCAGTCCTGCCTCTTTCTTGGTCATTAACCGTTTATGCTAGAGGGCACGTCTGAGTACACAACATGTACTGGGCTCCTTACGAAATCGTCTTCGACGTGGCCGAAGACTTCACTCTTCCAGATTGCAGCAGCAGGAATTTCTTTAGATAAGTTAGTGATCGGCAAGCCAGCCACCAGTTCGGACGCAAGCAATGGCTATATGAGTACCACCTTACTCGCTCAATGTGTGGACACCGCCTATCAACAAGGATGGGGTGCGTCCAATATTCCACATGCTGTTTAGCAGAGGCTAATCATAGTTTCCAGATGCTGGCGTTATGGTGTGGGAGGTGAGCTAAGTTAACCTGTCAGACGAATGTCGCTAATATGTCGTGTGATAGTTTCCCGACGCTGCAGCGGCCTGGATCAAAGCCGTGCGGTCGCTCGCATTCCCAGAATAAACAGCGCCTGTGACTACCGACTCTCTCGCTGTCATTTATGTCCTAATGTACGTATAATTTTGAGCTCAATTTTCAGGACATATCCTCTGTATAATAAGTAGCTCAAAGTAGCAGCAGTCTATGTTTTGTTTCAGATGCGTAGAACACATACAGGCTCGAACTAGTGTACGAGTCGGGTATATAAGCGTGAGACAAGTCCAGCACAGTCCACTTCGTCGAAGGTCCGAACAAGTGAACCTCCCAATTTGGTGCACCGACAACTTATAATTAAAGAATAGACAAAGACGGGAATCATGTCAAAAGACATGGGAGAGGGAGAACCTTTGTGGACCATTGCTCCGTCAAGATTATACCGTCAAATCCAAGGTAAAACGTTTGTAAATTAGTGAGTCGACCGTTGTCAGTGAGTTCAAGCAAAAAGTTGAACAACGACTGACAACAGAATAAGTCACAGCGAGACGTGGTCCAGATGCAGTTGATATCTGTTTACATCAGAAAATCCTATGCAGATTATTTTGTAAAAACTGTGGGAACCAGGCGCACTGCGGGGGGAGAGCCTCGTTTCTCGTTGTCCTGATGTGATAAGTTTTGGGAAATGCAGCGTGCTGCCAAAGGCTTCGTGAATTTTGGAAAACAAAAGAACACGGGAGACCAGCCTTTCGGGTATCGACCTGCCCGACTTGGAACTCGCGTGTCCGTAATAGTGTCTTTGTTATGTAAGCAGTATATGCTCCAACCGAAAATCATCACTCGCATTCGATGCCATAACCCGAGACAACTTGCTTCACGCTGCCAAATCCTTATGCAGCATCTATTTCGCATCCAAAGGGGATCCAGGCGCTCTCATGACACATTAATATTTCTCTACAAACACACCAGTGTTTAGCATATGAACATGAACATGGTTTACCCATTCTTCCCATTTCTGGATCGTCACTTCATCGGACATCTCAAAATATTGTTACCTCAGGTTTGAGCTTTGAGCGGATCCAATGGAGTTTTCAGAATACGTCGTCCAGAAATATCAGTGGAAGGTATCAAACTTTACCTGCTTGAGTACAGAGCGGAGCTGGGACGAGATATACACATATGCTCTGAACTTCGGACGATGATTATTGCAGGGTTACGAGTTATCAAGTTGTGCAGACCATGCAAGCGCTGCATACATTGCCAACAGAGGCCAGTTTGGCATGAGTTAGGATCATTGCAGTAAGTGCCTTTGGTTTGTCTTATTAGGTGCTGATGTTTCAAAGCCTCACATGTCACCTCTGACGGTGCATGGGGTCTAGCTAAGCATATGTGCATATGCAACAGACTGTGTGCATCTAATTGGCTCGAAAACCTAGTCTACACCTTTTCGCCTTGTGTCTCCTACCCCTTTTTTCAGAACTGAGATACAGCTCAAGTTGCCGGCTAGTACCATCTAGTGCAAAGTCTCATTATGCCCTTCTAAGCTCTCACACACTCTCCCCCACTTTCACATTTCTAAAACCTGGCTTTGTTGCAGAACTGCTGAGAATCCCTTTTAGAGGGCAGAGTCACACGCAACAATCCTCCGTCGAATGCGTGTCTCGCTGCTGGCATTTGTCGTTTTGCACACTAATATTCTGCCAATGCATGTAGGGGATCTCTCGGCAAAGCGACGAACGATGTCATCTGTAACTTCATAGGTCGCGCTCAAGTTTTCCCGCTGAACGTTACAGTCCCTCGCCAAGAGGTTCTAGGGACTCCCGCCGTTTACCCCGATTTCCTAAGCTTATCTCACCTATTGCATTCGCCACGGATTGCTTCCGCACACAAACTCATTCAATTTTGGCATTCCAAATCCGTGCTTCTGAGGAATTATCTCTCTTGCTCAATCATATGCAACCTCGAATGCCTCTCGAGCACATGCGGCAGAAATTTCAATTCTCGCATGCACGTACCTAATAACCTCGCATGTTTTTCTGAATCCGCGTGCTCACCACTCTTGCGACTTGGCCGACTGTATTCCCAATACGGAGATCCCGCGTCTGACCCATCTTTAGTCTTGGGAACCTTGGGGGGCAAGGGGTTATGTTGCTGGTAATAATTTCGAGTCTTCATGTGCCGCCTCCCGCCAACAGAGGTCTAACTTTATCGCCAAATCGTCTGGCGGTATTCCATGCAGCATCCAGCCACACCCTGGTTTTCGTTCTAATGCTGACACTCACTTCTTTTATTAGTGAGACGGGGTCTCTGGTGCATGTGCCATTGAAGGTCACATATGATACACTAACCCTGGGATGAGGTCTTGGTGAAAGGTATAAATGCCTACCAGTGGCTTGTATTATACCCCAGTCTCGCCATGGTGTCTTTCATGCTCTCGAGTCTTCTCAGTGTCTTCGCAGTCATCGGCGGCGTGTTGTCTGTGCCTCTTGAGGGTAGGGCACTTTCAGCTCGTGCAGCACCACCTGCAGCACCTCGCTTCGTTATTTACAGCGACGAGTGGGTCTCTGGTGAGACCGGTCCCCTGCAGTCAGCGAAGTCACGGTATGTATTCACCGGCTACTTCATTGGCACGTATTGATTGATTGTGGATCAGGGGTATAACGTCTTGTGAGCCTTTGGATAAACATGAGTATTTTACAGGTCTAACTTTCTTCAGTGCCCTCTCGTTCTGGCTCACCTCCGGCCCAGCTGATCAAGTCGATGAGTGGACATTGCTTGACAATGCCACGCGAGCATCTTACTTGACATCATACCACGATGCGGGATTTCTCTTATTGTAACTGCTTTCGGGTCCACAGATGCGCCTACGACTGAGGGGTATGATCCTACTACCGTCGCCAATGATCTTGCGGCCTTTGTATTGGAATATGATCTTGACGGTGTCGATATTGACTACGAAGTGGGTTTCTCTTGAGATGTATTAGTCCACGACTGAATACTGGCTTTGCAACAGGATTTCGATGCCATGAATGCTGAAAATGGATCTGCAGAAACTTGGTTGACCACTTTCACCCAAACCCTCCGTGAAACGCTTACGCAAGGTATGTTTGGTGGTTCCATTATGAGTGACGAGGACGTACTGACAGCGTACCGCAGGTCAATACATTTTAACCCACGCACGTGAGTCTGCCTCAAAATCCAGTCATTGGACCTAACTAATTTCTCGGCCTCCATCTAGCTGTTGCTCCATGGTATTTAGACTAATCGTATTTATGCGAGTCCTCTGAATTCATCTCCCTGTTTATAGGTTCTCTGCATCGTACACTAGCGGTGCTTATTTGACAGTCAACACCAATGTTGGATCCTTAATTGATTGGGTAAGTGAGGAAATCATCTGCGATTTTTTGTCAGCTCACTCGCCACCTTACAGTACAACGTTCAGGCAAGTATTTTTTGACAATGGGTAATTTCATGATGCCAATACAGATTTCCTGGTTTTATACAGTTCTACAATCGTGAGTCACGCGGTCCTTTCTCTTTGTCTATCATTGATTAGCTATTCTAGAGGGCACAACTGAGTACACAACGTGTACTGGCCTCCTTACGGAGTCATCCACGACGTTCCCAAACACTGCACTCTTCCAGATTGCAGCAGCAGGAGTTTCTTTAGATAAGTTGGTGATCGGCAAGCCAGCCACCACTGCGGATGCAACCAATGGCTATATGAACACCACCCTACTTGCCGAGTGTGTGGAAACTGCATATGAAGAAGGATGGGGTGCGTCCAATATCCCACGTATTGTTCAGCAGGGGCTAACCATAATTTCCAGATGCTGGCGTTATGGTGTGGGAGGTAAGCTAAGTTCACCTATCAGACGAATGCTTCTAATCCGCTGTGTGCTACCAAGTTCCCCGACGCTGCAGCCGCCTGGATTGAAGCTGTGCGATCGCTCGCATTCCCAGAATAAACAGCACCTGTGACTCTTTACTCTGTCGCTGTAATTTATCGCTCTGCTGTTCCAATAGAAATCCGATTCTGAACTCAGTTCTTCGACCCTGTGTGAACAACAGTCTAAGGTATATATTCCAGATGTGTAGAACACATGCAGCTCAAACTTCAAGTTAGTACGAGTTGGGAATAGGCAGTATGTAAATGAATGTCAGAGATCTAAAGACCAACGCAGTTTTCAAAGTCCGAATGAGAGACCCAATTTGGTGAACCCACGACTTGAACTGAAATTAATAAAAGAGTGACGTAGAAAATGAAGGGAATGTCAAAAGATGGAAGAGGGAGAACCTTTCTAGAACATCGTTTCCTTATTTTTCAACCGCAGAATCAAGGTAAAACGTCTGTAAATCAGTGAGTCGGTGAGATCAGGCAGAAAGTTGAACAGACTGACAATAGGTGAAACGTGATAATCACGATTGACTTGAGCGGCATTATAGGCACCGATGTCACCAACAAAGAATATGGTGTTGTCATGAATCTTGTATGCGATAGTTGTCTTTGCCGTATGGCCGTCGAGATTTACGTAGTGCACTTGAGACATGTCAATGATAAGTAGACTCGGACAACGAAAGCATTGAGATTGCCCACCCTGCAGTTCATTAGTTCTGGGATTGAATGTCCAAATAGCTGATTCAGTCCGCATTGTGCTGGCCCACAGGGACGGGTGGGGAATGCACAGGTGCTATGAATGATTTGTCATTAAACATTCAAATTGTGATAGCCCTGCAAGCTTACTTCTAACGACGTTGCCAAAGCCGACGGCTCTGTTGATGGAGCAAGATCAGTGTCTAGTAACCGGATTTTTTTTGGAAAATACCAACGTTGAGGAGCCAGTGGCGAGGGTGTGGTTGCTGGTCGTCCCAATATAATGAGGCCCAGGAAATGCGGCGTCCTGCCAAAAGCTTTGTGAATTTGAGAAATAAAAAAGAATGAGGAGGACCGTACGATGACCTGTATGTCGATAAGCCCCTTTCCAGATCGAGACGTGGTGAACGACACGTGCAGGTTCGCGCTTGAGGCACCAAAGTTTACGCCATTTCTAGTCACAACCCCAGCAGTGACATTTTTTTTTCAATGGGAGGAACACTCAAGTCGGCAGGCGTTCTTACATTCCTGAGACCCGGTTATGTAGATATCCTAGTGGCTTGCCATTGTGGCTCTTGACCAGGATCCGACCAGTAAATCTGAAGGAATTGAAACAAAATTTGAGTGATATTTTCAACGGACTCACGTCTTAGGCGGAGTGGACGATGGGGCCGGGCCCATCGCTCCTGCACCGACACATTAGTTAGTGCAAGTACTTGAGATATGGGTTTAGAAGTACCAGCTACTGTTGGCGTCCTTGCATAACCTGGCAGAGCGCGACCAAACTTGGGAGGTAAAATTGGCAGACCACGAGCTAGTCGCTGTGCATTCGTCAATGCTGCAACTGCACTAGAGACGGAGAGAAGCAGTGCAATGGCACAGCTCAGCACAAAAATCCGCATGACGGGAGGTCAAGACGATGCCAGCTGTTGTTGAGCGTACCTTTGATGTTTTAGCTGTCCATGTGCATGTCACACGGTCTGACTTCGCCAGTCAAAAAAGTGACAGTCGGACCTCAGGTACAAAAAAAATCGAGATCCCTCCGTCGATTGACAAGTCGACCTCTATCAATGTTTCAAGCCAGAGGCCACTCACACAGTAAGGCAGGGTAAGGCAGGGTAAGGCAGGGTAAGGCAGGACCGACGAGCGGCTGTGTTCGAGCTGTCTTAAGGTGACTTCATGACTCGGAACTGGACATGTCTGAGGGTGCTTCAGACCCCTCAGATTGCAGGTAAAATTCTCCAGCTTTGAGTAGATCGAATCAATCACGGTGGCATATGCCAAAAAGTGAGTGCATATCACGTTGGAATTGAGAACACCCGAAAGGGGGATAAACTTTTCCCTTAGCCTAGGCTGCGATGGTGCAATGTCGCGATAGTAATGTCACAAACTAGATTTGAAATTTGATGACTAACATTTGGCCAGAGAGCTATACTTCCCACGGCTACAATATCAAGGACTCCTCAATTCACTGATGTGACTGAGTGTCAAAATTACATTTGATGAGTGCTGGCAGTGCTAGTGATTCTGTGGAATTTCATGTTGCAGTCTCGACTCTCGAACCAACTTGATCAGGTTTTTGCAAATTGCTCAACCTACCAGCAATTGATTTGGGATGTTCGAGACCTTTGGAAGGTGGATAGCCGTTCCCTCTAATAGTTCGAAGATCTATAAGTTATCGGCCGCCAGCGCTCCAGCACGCTTCGCGAACATGATCGATATATCACGGTGATGTGGCTAGTTTCAAATGATCAGTAAATATTCCCCTGCAAAGTCAAATCAGAGTGACACACGCCACATGAGTTTGTGTCAATTGCACCGCAGATACTTGCTATGTGGCAGCATAGGAAAAATGAGGACTGGAGTACATGTTGGTGATTAGATCGATTAGATATCGCACCAGGTACTAAAATAGTATATATGTCTTAATGAGAAATATGGTAGTGATCAGTGATAGTGAGTAAAAGCACTAAGAACTTCAGTGGTACGATGTCCATGGTATCTGATCATGCTATGTTCGGATGATTGGTGCAGGCGAGGGTGACAGTAGATGAGACAACATTCACTGAACAGTGCACCCTGATGATTTCTCGGCTCCCCGTTTCTTGTGACGATCAGGGTCGTTGGGTATTGTGCCCGGAATGTGGCGTGATGAAGTGACCATATGATCATTGACAGTGGGGGTCATAGTATGGGCATAAAAGGGTTTCTTGTCAGGAACTGGCGGACCAAGTTGTGGAATGGTACCTGTATCAAGCTCAACTATCGAAAGGAAGGATTTACGACCAGGTTCTTGACGGCTAGATTGGCTATCAGCCGTCTCCATGCTGCCGGCATTGGGGGCAGTACTATTACTTGACAATGAATGAGGTCGTTCTTCGGAGATCATATTTGACGGGAGCTTAGGGAGTTTTCGCTTGGGAGCGACATCATCGTGAGACAGAGGCTGAGAAATCGGTGATGCCGATGCGGAAGGGGGAGACCTATTCTCTATTGCTAGGGAAGAACGAGAACGTTTGAAAGGATTCACAAACTTGTAAGCGTTGAGAGGAGTGGGTGATGGCGATTGTGATGACGGCGTGACGTCCGAGCTTGGTCGTGGAGAAGGTGTAGCGAAGGAGACTTCAGAAGGAATAGTCGTCGATGGAGGATGCAACCCATTCGACCCATCGAGCGGGATACCAACAGGGCTTCCTTGTTCGGCGTATTGTGCGTAAAGCAACAGTTGAGAGCGGAAGTCACATGTGGGAGGAGCTTCAGGAGCACATTTTGAGTGAGTGATGAGATTACACTTGTCGCAAATGACGGCACTCCTTTTAACACTTCCCATACACACCCTGCAGACCATGGCTACAAACACGATCAGCGGGGCTCACGAGCCGCAAATTCCGGACTCACGTTTCCCGAAGGTGGTCTTGATAAAGGAGTGATCCCTGGGGGTGAACGGGGTGTCCTCCAGAAGCGGGATTGGCGGAGACGGTCCACTGGATAATCTGCGCCTTGGAGACTTTGATGTCTCCTCTTGAACTGAGGCTACCGAGAAGGGCGACTCGATTCTGTTTATATCCATAGATGCAACATATGCAACGTCAGTCTTTTTGAGATCAGTGCTAACACGCCGGAGAAAAGGTATGCTATCCTGGGGACGAAGCTTCTATATGAAATCGATTGGTGACACCTTGCATGCTATCCGGAAACGCACGAACCTTGAGGGCATCCCAATTTTTCTTCAACCAAGGGTGCTCGCACAATAGCTCGGCATCGGGTCGCATCGAGGGTTCCTTCTGGAAGCATTGCTGAAGGAAGTCTTTCAATGGTTCGGAGCATTCTTCAGGGATTGGCATCTCGTCCTCGACAATGCGGAACATGACTGTATTTACATCAGTCATGCATCCGAAGTAATGATCGCGATCATACCTGTCATTGTGTTGGTGATATCTCCAAATGGCGGACGTCCAGTAAGAAGTTCAACGACCGTACATCCCAACGACCAGATGTCAGCCTTCGTTGAAGCCCCTTTGAGCTCGATGACTTCTGGAGCCATCCAGTTCGGAGTACCAGCGATGTCCTTCTCTCGTTCTATAGCCTTCAGGTTCAGGGAAACGCCGAAATCCGAGAGCTTGATATTCCCCGTCTTCGTAGTAAGGATGTTGGCGGCTTTCAGATCACAGTGGACAACATCACAACGATGCAAGTAATGTAAACCCTCGAGAATCTTGACAACGTAGCTCGCCACAAGATGCTCGTTCAGCTTGCCGAAAGCTTTCAGCATCTGGCCCAACGACCCGCTTTCAGCATACCTACATCGAACTTATCACAGAAACATCCGACAAGATAATGGGCTGTACTCACTCAAGAACGATGTTGAGGTATTGGTCATCTCGAGCCATCCCTTCATACTTCACAATGCTTGGATGGGATAGTCTTTTCATCAAGTCCACCTCCTTCATGAGCTGGGCAACTTCGTCCTCTTTCAGACCTTCTAATCGGATTCGTTTAACTGCCACCATTTGCCCAGTTGTCAGATTCAGGGCCCGATACACCGTGCCGAACTGTCCGCGGCCGATGCAATTCCCGAGTTGCTTATAAAGGTAAAGTCAGAAACCTGCGCGCTAGCTTGCATAAATAGGAGAACTCACGAAATGAATTGCAGGCTTCCCTTCTTCCTCGACTATTACAGTCTGCCGTACAGCGCTTCCATCACCGGAGTCCCTTGGCAGCAAGTCGCTCGTACTTGCGTTCGCAGAGGCCACCCCCAGATTGACCATACTTTCATATCGAGACCTCCGCGGTCTGCCCAACTCATCATGCGAAGTCGGACGACTGCATCTTCGAGCTCGATGATCTTCAACATCACTCTGGAAACGACCACGCACACGGGGAGCATCCTGGTTATTTGTGACACCGCCCTTGGCAGTAGAATCGGGAGATGGTGTAGAACGAGCAGCATATTCCCCTGACACGGCACGTGGGAAGGGGACAGTATGAGCATCGTCATCTTTTGCAGTCCCAGGATCGTCGGTGTTATTACGAGGATAGTAGACCCCATTTCTGCGAGCACCATTCCGTGTACTCTGACGACGCAGAATAACTTTGGAGCCTGGTGAATTCTCTGAGCTGGCATCCAAACGGAGCACTGAATTCTTCGGCATCAGGACATCCGCGCCATGGGTTGACCGATGAGATGGCCTTCGGACTGTGGGCTCTGTGCTGTCGTTGTGACGTGATGTCCCAACAATGGAAAGTTTTCTGGTCGGGGATACAGACAGAGGACTGGAACCAAGAGGCGTATCTACATGGTTTGACGATGTTGCAGTCGGGACTGTTCGAGATGGACTTGAAGTTTGCGCTTTGAAAGCGTCCAGAAAATCGTCGGGCCATTTGCCTTTACCGAGCCGCACACGAACCTGCGCTTCCGTTTCCCGCTCTCGCGAGGGTTCCCTAGGCTGTAGACCCTCCCCCTGGTGGTGATTGGAACTCGACCCACATGCACTGTTCTCCTCTTCCTCTGCGAGGCTAACCAGATCAAGTATACCTGGCTCGCTCGGGCGTCGCTCCCTCGACCGAGGTGTAGGCTCTCCACCACCCCGTCTCCTGCTCATCTCTTCTGCCATGGATGCTGCCACCGAGCTAGCCTCGGTTCGAGTGAACGAGGGCGCCTCAGAACAAGAGGTCGCCTCAGTGGTGAAAGTCCTGATGGTACCAAACTTGTTTTGGTTGCTGCTGCTCGCCCGTCTGATGTCAAAGATGCTGGAGAGGGCGGTATTATCAGTGAGATTGCTGGATGTTCTTGACTGTCGTGGGGGATAGTCTGCATCATAGCCCGACGGACTGGACACCTGTGAGGTCGATACTTGAGGGAAGGGAATATCGAGTGGCTGAAGGCTGGAGAGAGGGCTAATACAACTTTCATCTGGAAGTCCAGTTCGAGAGTGCCCACGAAAGGGAGATCTAGGGGTTGGAGATGGACGCGTGATAGGGGGAACCTTGTCAATTTCATGATCACTGTTGCTGGCTGGTGCCGTGCTTCTATCTATGATGGGGACTCTCTTAGCTGTGCCATCAGATGTTCCCGATTGCGGACTATCAGGTCGTACTGGGGGAGGCGATCGTTCATGTGGACTCTGCATTCTGTGAGTCAGACCGGAAAGAGAAGTTGGAGATACTGATCGTGGCAACAGATCTAGTGTGGGAGAAGCAGCGCAAGAAATCGCCGGAGAGTGAGGGTCGTTGCTTGAAGCTATGATGGCACCTTTCCTGCCTTGACCCGTGATGACCTTAGCACGACCGACTCCAGGGTCTTCAAAAAGCTTGATCAACGAAATGATGGTACATGCAACACGGCAAAGGGTTTCTGGAGTCGCCTGGATGAGGTCATCACGATAGAAGATGTCGCCGGAAGGGACGCCGTGTTGCGAACACGCAGCAATGAACCTGGTGATGTTATTGGTGTGCTTAAACCCGTCTTCACGGTGGTCGATGCGAGTTATGGTCCCAGAACAATGCTTATTCATCAACCTGAAAAGATGTAGCATTAAACAGCACACCAGCGGAGTAACTGTCAAGACCTACTGACAAAGTACAACGCCATCTCGAAGGGCCTCGCAGAAGAGCTTCCTTTCTCTTTCCTCCCCAGCAGAGCTAAGTACAGTGGAACCAACACCGCCCACAGCAATCTGGCTAGAACTAGCGCTGGCACCGCCACTCTTCCCCCAAACGCGTTCAAGCCTAATTAAGGGCTGCAAGCGCACCTCTACTTCTGCCCACTCCTTCTGTGCATCACTGCGTGCAAGATGCGCTGGTGCTTTCCGTAATTCCTTGCACAGAAGCGAAGTTGCGGCACGTATGACCTCACGCTGCTCTGGAGTGGAAGGAGAGATAAGGGAAGCAGTTGAGATATTAAAGCGATTCTGGGCGCATGCAGGCGTGCGCTGAGAAGGTGATGTAGCACGTGGGCGCACGGTGGACTGAGGGGAATATGCTCGAGGCACAGGGGAGGCGGTGGGTCGCCGATACACGTCAATGGAGCCTCTCCGAGAGGTTTCGTCAGATGCCTTTCGCGGCACTTCCGCAGATGGTCTTCGGGAGGTATCAAAAGACGGTCTCTGTGGAGTACCGATAGAACCTCTCCGTGGCGCATCAACTGAGGGTCTCCTTGGTGCATCCACAGAAGGCGTGCGGGCTGGAGTTGATGCCGTCGGTGGACCGGAGGAGTTCAAGGGAAGATGGGATGCAGATACAGAAGTAAACCCCTGATACGATGCGGGAGCCACGACTTGTTTCAGAGGTGTCCTTGCGCGTGCAGGACTCACAGCGCGGCTGGGAGTGGGAGAGGAAGGTGGATTGTTGTGAAGAGGTAGGTGAGTTGCACTTGCAGCTATGGGCGTTCTGGACAGGGAGCCCGACGACAGAGGTGTCGGGGTGTCCGGCGGACTTGACGAATCACGGCTCCGCCTAGGTGCGTCAATCGACAAACGTCCCCTTGGTGTGGAGAGTACTGGAGTTGGACGAGATCTACTTGCCCGAGAGGAGGCTGAACCAGAACGGTCAGGCGTTGCAGCGCCACTGCGGTGGTCACGCCGCGGTGCTAATGGCTGAGGACCACTAATTTCCTTGGACTTAATGGGGTGAACACTGGCGCGCCGCATACGATCGCGTGCAGGTGTGATAGGGCCTGTATTTGTTAATGGCGCCATCGCTGCAGGCTGCGACGGACCCGACGGCAAATTTTGGGACGAGAGATGGAGAACAGGGGAAGACACGGATGCCTGCCGCAGGGATGGGGTAACAAAACTCGTGAATCCGGCCTGGCGTGACTTGGTGACTACATCCGCATTATTGCCAGTAGTCGCTCCAATCGCGTTGGTGTGACTTGTGTCGAGGGGGATCGATGTCGATGTCGACATTCGTGCAGTTCTGCGCAGTCCCACCCTGGATTCCAATCGCCTCAGCATGCCAGACATGATCTTATCCTTCTTCTGCCCTTTCACAGAAACGTGGTCTTCAAGCTCTTTCTCCTTGCCTTTACCCTTGACGGAGACAGTTGCGAAGTCATCAACGGGTGGCAAGACTTTTGCTCTAGAACGTGTTGCGGTCTTCAAACTTTGCTCCAATGACGATCGGAGTCGCTTGAAAGTCATGGGCGTTGTCTCGGGCATCTCTTGAGTGGAATATGATGACGATGAGGAGAGCTCTGGAGTGCGGGGCAACGCTTTCGGTGGCGAGTCGCACCTCGGGCTACCAAGCTGGAGAGAGACCATATGGGAGGGGTTGGGTATCTGTGTCTTTGGAGCGCTCGAGAGGGTGATTGCTGCCATGTGTAAGCCGCATGTAATGCCGAGATCTCGAGGAAACTGTATGACTAACGTTGCACGACCGCGTACGCTTCGCTTCAAAGCGGGGCGTTGATGGGAGTGCAACGTGCACGATAGTAGCCAAGTGACCCTGCAATTCTAAAGTCAGTACTTGTTGCAAGTGGTGCGGACAGTATCGTGTAGCGTTACGAAAGTATGAATTCATATACTACTCCACTTCGCAAAGCGGCAAGGAGCCACGAGCAAGGGAAATATCAATTCGGAAGGCGAACCCACCAAGAACTTGATCTGACAGTATGTGACACACTGCAAATCCTGCCAGTTTATGGCCGAAGCACAGCAAGTACAATGTACTGGATGGCTTATCACCCCTGCCGACTGAAGAGAAGGGTGCAGTAAAGCAGGGATCCGAAAGAACAGTATTCCTCCCGAGATTCAAACAGGACCACAGTTTCACCAGTAATAGATTGAGATTTCCGGCAGAAGCAGCGCGTGCGCTCCGGGAACAGGAACGTCCAATATTGATAAGTAGTCGTGAAATGAAATCATGCACGGATTGACAAGACATTGACGTCGGAAGCAAGAGACACGACAACCTAAATACTACTACCAGTTCGGATAACTACCGCGACCGACCGACTTCCAACCTTGCAGTGACTAACGGTTCGAGAGTATCCTCAAGTTATGGAAAGTTGGCAACTTGTGACTGCACAACAAAAGCAGACATGTATGCGTGAAATTTGTACTAGTAGTCTTTCGGGTTGATGCTATTCACGATATCTGACACCTACCGCTTGGACCCGGAAGGTTATTCGGGTCATGGCTGACCTGCATTGGCTGATTATCGAACAGCTGACTCGCCACCCCAAAGGGGGTTCCAACAAATGAAGATCGCCACATCAGTCAGCGACCAGATGCCATCACTGAAGGCGGAGCTGGCTTAAAGAGAGCGGCTGTATTGTTGGTGCCATGGCATGTTCTCGAATCTCCTGACCAATGATGATGCCTGCCAGGTATCGGAGCAGTGACCGCTACAATTGGACTTGATAGTGAGAGGGGGAGGAACCACGTGGTTTAGAAACTTTAGATTAGGCTGTTGCTTCGCGAAGTTCACGTGTATATCAACGGGACATCCACCAATACTGTATTTCCAGACCCACGCAAGACAGGAACAAAGCACACTGAATTCAACAATTCATGAAGTTTGAGAAAGGAACTTGCCGGCGGAGGCGGACATCACGGATCACTTAGGGGTAGACCTAGTGAACCGTTCGTGTGAGCGCAAGGTTCACTCGACTCCCCGACGGCACGAGAACCATGAGAATACGGTACCTTCTAGACTGTGATGATATCATGGTTGAAGGCTTACGCGAGCGCTTGATATGACACTCGTGGCGGCCCGTAAGTTCGCACCCAGACTTTGATGTAGTACAATTGTGAGTTACCAGGGTGCATTTGCATGAACTAACAGTTCAGCCTATGTCCTGGTCATCCAGAGCCTGACGTGCCAGACGAGGTAAGGTCAATTTGGAAAGAGTGACGTTGATTCTTTGCCACAACGTCGGAATGTCGGAGTTTCAAAGTCGTTCTGTTCTTGACTCACAACTAAACCTTACAAACGCGGACGCCGACGCCAACGATGTCGACCCGCTCAAGAACAAAATCAGTGTCAGCTACAAATCATGTCAAGTCACACTCAAGCAAGGATAATCAGCCAAAATCTATCAGGTCGCGCGCGAGATCCATGAAGAGCGAGGACCATATGAGCGAGATGGAAAAGGAGACCAAGATTGGTCGTGGGAAGGTGAAGGCACCTGTGAAGGCCACTCAGGATGCCCAGGACAGACGGCCAAAGGATAAATGTACATTTTGTATCTGCCATGAACCAGATGATGGCACGCCCATGGTGTGTTGTTCTGTCTGTAATGAGTGGTGCGTATATGCGATCAGATTCCTATACCTGGCTTCCTAAATCGGCACATAGGTATCATTTTCGCTGTGTGAGGCTTGACGAAGTGGAGGCTTCTGAACTTCGTAAGTTTTTCCTTATCGCATCTCATCATCAATTGCTGATTATTTCCCCAACCTTGATAGATATTTATGTATGTTCTACATGCACTGAATCAACTGGTCGACGTACAGTCAGTGAGTGTCACCGGTCTTTTTCTGGTTTGTCTCTGCGGGCTCGTATCCCTCTTCATGTACATCCATCATATGAGTCTTGTCCTGCAAGTACTTCGCTATCGTCTATCGTTAGTGGCATGTCTGTTCCTGTTCGCCACACCTTTGTTGCAGTCAATTGCGTGCCGTTGTGATGGTTGTACTTGTGCATCCAATGGTGCCTTTGGCCTTACGTTATAGGCGCGCGACTATTCCTCTTGAGTCAATTTTTGTCTGAAGAGGTTTTGATGTGAGCGATTGCTTGAGGCGGTCAACGGGCGCTAGATGGCACAACCTGTGCCACAGTGACGTCCTGTTCGCACGCAGGGAAAAAGAATGATGTGTTCTTTTCTTTTTTTCCTTACAGTGTGTCAATTCAAGACTTGAGGTGCTGATACTTTTTCGTGTTTTCAGTGAAGTGGGAAGAACCTGATGTAGCGGAAGAACAAGCCGACCCAGAGCACGACGAGGTCAAAACTGTCAGGCTTTCGACGCCACCTCCGGCGATTCCCCCATCAGAATCGGAGGACAATACAGACAGCGAGGACGAATACATTGCGGAGCCGGAGAAGTTCAAGAGGAAAGGGTCATCATCTGCCAAGGTGCGTTTCTGCTACCCTACTCAATATGGCGCCTGATCGTATTCGTGGTTCATTCGCCAGCGTCGTCGCAGAGTTTCCAGCTCCAGCGAGTCGGACACACATTCCAACGTCCGCGAAAGTACCGATACCCGAGAATCTTCCCACAAGACTGGCCCGTCTCAAGAATCATTAGCAAGGAAAGCGTCTCTCGTCCCAAGTTCCGGTCTCAAACGAAAGGCGACGAGCGCCACCCAACCTCCTGTTTCCAAACGCAGGAGATCCAGCGATGCCGCAGCTGAAGAGGATCCAGCAAGAAAGTACTGTCTTGGCAAACTCCACCAGCTGTTTTGTTCGATTTTTTTGAAGTACCCACATGCTGCTGCGACGGAGGATGGCAGTAAGGCCGAGCTCAAAGAGGGTGAATTAAGTGACGAAGATAAGACGCGCTTAGAGGAAGAGGCGAAAGCGTTTGCTTCTGAGGTTGAGCAATGCGTATTTGATATGTACTGCGAACCGGATAAGCACAACAAGCTCAGCGTTGGGCCGAAGTATAAGTGAGCCTGTACCTCGTTTTGGTTTTTTGATTAACGCCCTGATTGGCATTCACAGGGAGAGGTTCCGTATGCTTGACTTTAACCTTAGCAAACCAGATCGTGTGGTCATTCACAAGCGCATTAGCTCAGCCTCTATCACACCAAAGGAACTTGCCCTCATGAGCTCGACTGACTTAGCGAACGAAGAGACAAAACAGTCGATCAAAATATTGGAGAAAGAATCTCTGGAACATTCAATCCTACAAAAGTCAACTGTTCCTCGTGCAAAAATTACTCATAAGGGCTTGCAGGATATTGAGGATGTGAATGGTGATGTTACGATGCGCGAGCGCGAGCGTGAGAGGGAGCGTGAGAGAGAGGAAGAAGAGAGACGAGAGAGAGAACGGCAGGCGCGCTTGAGGGCCGCCGAGGAGCAGCAGAAGCAGCGTGCGTCTGCAGCTGCTCGAGGATCAGCGCCACTTGAGTCTCCAGTTGTACCTCATACATCGAGTTGGGGAGGGCATCCGTCTGTGTCCATGCATTCAGTCGACCAGTTTCCGACAAGCGATGACAGACCGCCCATGCATCCTTTGTTCGCATCTGATTTCCATACGATGCTCCCGGAGCCGGAGCTTGATATCGAGGATCTCATCAATCTAGATGATGAGCCAGGCCTGCAAGATTCATATGCAGAGAGGCTGGAGACTCCAGCCTTGGAAACTCCCATCATTGCTACAGACAGCGCACCTTCCGCAAGCCCAGAGCCCGCACCTGCCGATGTCCCAGAGCCTGCGCTTGCCGTTGGCTCAGAACCTGCACCTGCACCCTCCGAATCTCCTGTCCCCCCTCCCGCCACTCAGTCGGCTACGTTCGCACCCGCCCCCTCGCTTACACCGAAACCTGAGACACCTGTTCGCACATCTTTCGACCTCAACACTTTATGGTCAGCTCCGTCAGTAGCACCTCCTGAGCCCGTATCAGACCTTGGAGTTTCACGAGAATCGCAGATAGAGGCGGATCTTGTTGCCGCAGAAGCCAACGATGAAGATTTCGATATGTTGTTAGAGAAGGAACATGATCCGGAGTCCCCGCAGACGGAGCAGCCCTCTCAAGATCCTGAAGCGGTTTTCGAAGCCCTTCCTCTTGTTTGGAGTGGCAAGGTTGGTGCATTTGATCGTTGTAGTTCCTAACGATAACTTACGGGCACCAGATATCCATGCCTCTAGAATCCTCGCCTCTTCAGGAAGCACCTGTGGTTGCGCGGCAAGTCGGAGGACGGATTTTGGGTCACGATTCTGATTTATGGAAAACCCTCTTCCCTTCCGATATCCTCCGCATCGATGGCCGTGTTCCTACAGAGAACTCTTCGCATTTCCTCCTCCAGATGCGAATGAATTCGCAGAAGGAGCTCATTGCATGTGCATTTTCCACAGTGGAGGGGAACCCAATGATGCAGACGTTCAACGAATTCCTTATCAATAAAAAGTACGTTTTCTTTTCTCTGGCGTCCATTGTCAGATTTCTGACCGACAACTTCCTTCAGCCGCCATGGATTGGTGTTTCCTTGGGGCAGCCGACCGAAGGACCACCACCCTGGCAAGGAATTATACATGGTCCCGCTGCTCGCAACCCACCCTTTGCCTGACTTCGTCGAACTTATGGATAACTTATG